TACATCAAATAACATCTTCAGGAATATTACACAACTGACAACTCAGTTTCCACAATTGTTGTGCAGCATCTTCGTCCATTGCTTTTGGTGGAGCTGGGGCCGTTTTGCAATTGCTGCCCCCGATGCAATAAAAAGCGCAAACAAATAAACCAAAACTTGTTAGTTGCCTATTTCCCAAAGTAAACACTTAAGTAAAGACTACTTACGCATGGTACAGACCAGGCCGTGCCTGGTCGCCGTAGGCGCAGAAGAGGGCAGTTTGTGCACCCATCAGCGGACTGATAGTGAACAGCGGCCGCAAGGGCCAGATGAGCGCCCTCAGCACTACGGAAAGATGCCTCGTCAGCTTGGTGTCGACAATGCCCGGATGAAGGCTGTAGACGGTGACCTTGGAGCCCCTGGCTGCCAGCCGTCTGCTCAGCTCAGCTGTGGCCATCATCACAAACTGCTTACTGCGTCCGTAGGCAACCAGTGAGTTGTACGTCCAGGGGCCGTCCAGGTTCACATTCTCAAAGTAGTGCCGGCTGCCCACCCACAGGGCAATGGAGGAGAAATTTACGACGCGAGCAGTGCCCGCATTGAGCTTCTCCATCAGCAGGACAGTGAGCAGCCAGTGACCCAGGTAGTTGACACCGAACTGGTACTCTAGCCCGTCTTCCGTCCTCCACCTAGGGCACATCATCACGCCGGCGTTGTTAAACAGTACGTGGATTGCCGGAAAACGACTGAGCTCTTCAACGGCGCGGCGCACCGACGCCAGACTGGCCAGGTCGAGGTGGACGTAGGTCAGCTGACCTGCTGACACAGTGGGCTCACTTTGCAGAACCCTTTCGATGGTTTCATTTGCCAGGACGGCGTCTCTGCAGGCGAGAATCACCGTGGCGCCCAGTCGAGCGCAAACACGCGTTAGCTCGGCGCCTATGCCGCCATTGGCGCCGGTGATCAGGATGGTCTTTCCATGCAGTGATTCAGGCAACTGAGCACGTCTTCGAATGGGAGCGCACCTGCAGCTGAGAAAGTAAATCAAATTCTGCAGACACTCAACGATACATCGGCCGCAGAGAAAGATCATCAAGTGAAAACACAAACTGATTTTGGCGACGACAGAAGAGGCGGTACTACTAATTTTACCGCTGGCCATTGTTGCTTTTGTTTGGCATTATTTCATTTGTCAATTTATTGTTTACTCTTTGCTTTTATATGTTCAGGTAAAAATGTTTCAGTACAGGAAAATAACCTCTACATCAAAAGAACAGGTTAGCAAAGTACCACAAAATGGACATTAATTGATCATTAACATTTTGCAATAGTAGTAGTAGCAATAGCTTTTCCTCAATATAATTATTTTGTAAAAAATACACTACCTGTATCACGTATCGGAGGGTAGTCTTGCTTTTATACTGTTGTACATATCTCGTTTAAACCTGTTTTGCTGTCTTAGTTTGTTTGTTCATTTGTGCGTTGAGAACATTTGCACTTGAAATACTGTTCTAAATGTAATCACACTTGCACTTATTAACTCTAAGTTGAAAAAATTACAATCTTAATAATTTATCATTCTTTAAGGGTTTGTGTTTTGTTAGCTTATAATTAATCATTTTGTTGCATTTTTGTTAAAACATTTGTAAATACCATTACTCAAAGTTGCATTTTTGTAATCTGAAATATGTCTAATACCACTAAAATCATGTTTAAGCATTGGAACATAATTCATAAAAATTGAAACTGTGCTACCGTCTAGTGCCACATAATGTTAGCTTAAAACAAATTGAAGTATAACTCTATTTTTGCTGTTAAAAATACTATTATACATGTTATCATACAGTGAGCTGTTAATGGTGAGAGTTTGATCGATCTCTTTCTGTAGTGTCCTGGTGTTATCCCTGATCTGGCGCTCCTCTGGAGTTCAGGGAGTGAACTGTGAAAGAGGCCCTGTATTGCTTTTAGGAACAGACTTTTCTTTTCCCCCTCTGATTGGTTTTTAACATCGAGAAGTGATATCAACCGAAAGAAAGCGGGCGAAAAGACGCACAGTTTCACCACTGCAGAAACAGGGTCTGGTAATTTGATATTGCTGCCAAGTTTTGCCAACCGCTTTTACTACATTGCAACTGCGAACTGCTCACTGTGCTTTTTCTAATCAAGCAATCGCTGTCTCATCTACATAAACAATTCTCCCTCACACAAATTAATGCCGCACTGTATCATCGTCAAAGCAACACTGTGATTTGGCCAACACCATCCACTAACACGCATTCCTAGTTTTTCCACACCAATTGCATTTCTTTACCTCGTGATGATTTGAGTGTCTTCTTGATGTTGACCAAAACGAACCAAAAGGCAAACTTTATCTCCATCACGTAGGCAAGTTTTGGCCAGAGGCGACCGAGTCGGACCTTCTCCCTCTCACTGGTTTGTCCACGCTGTCTTTACTGGTTGAAAATCACGCCATCGTCTTGCTGAGCTGATTGCTGTTTTATCAAAATGAACCAATCTGGACGGAAATTTTCTTTCCAAAAGTACGTTCACATCAGCAGTTTTCGGCTATTTAAGTAGACTAAACCCGCCAAAAACACCAGCCCTGATCACGCTCGTTTGGCTTCGAGCGGCCATCCTATTCACCATTTTTTCGTTGCCTCATCACTAGTTAGCTTTTATTCCCTTTACCGTTTCTTAAATAAAGCTTTTTAACAAACATCCTTTTGCCTTTGATTGCTTAAGCACTCCATCGCTCTCACTTTTTTAGTGTAGCAATGGTTGCCCTTTGTTCTCTTCTGGGTGACCTTTGACTATCTACAACTCATCATGCTTCATGACGCATACGAATTCTGCCGGAGTCTGTATCCTCACACTCTGTCTCTGGAGAAAAAGTGGCCTACGCGAGTGCACGACGGTACCCCGGAAAAAAATGTCTGAAAAGAATAAAACCAGCGACCAGCTTAAGAGAGTTGAAGCGCACTTTGCTGATCTAAGACTTCGTGTCCAAAAGTTCAAGGCCAAGCTTGAACGTGTCAACATCGACAATGGGGGTCGTGTTCTCACGGTCGATCAGGTTACCATGCTTCATGACGCATACGGCTTCTCTTGGAGTCTGTATGCCCACACTCTGTCTTGAGAAAGAGTGGCCTACGCAAGTGCTTGACGGTACTCCCTTCCCGCCCCCTTCCGTGATTCCGAGTTTCTTTGAAATCAATTGGAAGCAGTCCAAGAGAGCGTGGGGCTGCCCCCAAAACTAGTGAAGAAGGGCAAGATTCTGGCTGCGGAGAATGCCGGAGAGAGCGAGGAAGACTACTAGGACGCTACCTACAAATCAGTATGCAAACAACTTTAAGGTTGTTGAAGACACACGACTGTCTCTCAGGGCCGGCTTTGTCATCGCTGCCCTTGCAACCTTCCAGCCAGCTTACTCGCAGCTGCCTGTGTCATCTCTTCGTCAACTCCATCATCGCTGCCGTGTGCTTCTTTCCAGTAAGCTTAACGTCGCTGTCTGTCCACCCTACGTTGGGTTAGCTCCTTCTTTGCTGCCCGTGTCCAAAACCATCAGGCTTTTTACGCCGTTCGGGCCCTTCTTCATGTGACTCTCCCCTGTGACATTCTCCTTTGTGGCATTTCCCCCCCCCCCC